TCAACTTGATTTGGAAGTCAGGTTCCTTGCACTGGATGGTGAGTGGTGTTAACCCTCTATCTTCTCCCCTTGTTGACCTAGTCAGTGTCAAGTAGGCTGCTTCTCCACTTTCTTCACATTGAGATGAAGTCGATCTGATTTTTGATTTAGTGTGTCCTGGTGTCTGATGAAATCCATATCTCTTTGTGGATACCCTCGTGATTGAACACACTGTGCCTCACTGCAATCACCAAATCGTTGAATGCACAGAATTCTGCAAACAATTCTCCATTCTCATTCATCACCTCACCGATCACTTCTCAACCCATGATTGATTCTCTTCCTGTGTTGTCTGCTCCCAGTTCGGCATTCATGTCACTCTACCCACTAGAATAAGTTTTGATGTCGCCAACTGGAGTGAGATCTTGTCCAGTGTTGATTGCAGTTGTGTGTAGAATTCCTCCTTTTTCTCACGATCTGCATTATTTGTAGATGCACTGTGTAGCATTGTATCATTGTGACCTTCCTTCCTTCCTTCCTTCCTCCTGAGTTGAACCTTGGTGTTATAATTCTGATAGTGGAGGAGATTGGTTCCCACTACATGAGGGCCTTCGATGATGTTGGGGACATGATGATAGGCACTGGAGAACTCAGTGTGCTCGTGGTTGTCATCTGGGTGACAATATCGGAGTAGATTAATGACTCCTCTCCAGTTGACAGTTTGGAGAGTCCACTCCCATTCCACCTGCTTTCCCAAATTCCAAGCACTTCAGTGTGATACCTCTTCATCTCGTTTGCAATCTGGGCTGTCTTGCTGGTTTCAAACATCGTGCGGACATTCCATGTTCCCATGTTTACTTTCGCTTTCATCGAGGCAGAGAAGACACATCGACCAGTTGGCTTCCTGAAGGCAGGCTTTCACCGAGTGTTGTCATTTCGCCTCTCCGATTGCAGTGAGGAATGATTTTGTTATTGATTTTTATATTTGGTTTGTGCTTTGAAGTTTCTTTCGTGGTTAGATTTGTTTTGTGGGATAGGTTTGCTAGGCGTATGGCCAACCTTCGGTGTTTGTCGGGGCTTAGGACCGGCTAATGACTATTGAACTAGTTAACCAGGCGAGGTTGATAGTCCCTTATTACAATACTTTATCCAGAGTGATTATTATTATTATAATTATTATTATTATCGCTACTATTCATAACTATCTCTCTCAACATCTAACCATTTTGATTGGTATATCTTTTCTGTTGATTACATAACTACATCGGCTGAATTTCCCCGCTATGCACCTAGAATCCTTTCTTACCTATTCTTAGCCATTTATTTCTGTTATTTATAAAAATTAGACAGTATCAGTTGAATTTTCATGTCAGTATTCTTCATGTCTGTCAATGTATTGTATGCCTGCGCTATTGAGAGAATGTTAAATGGATACGTTTAAAACTAGCAAATAAAGTATGTTTATACCATATATATTAATTGTATTTTTGATGGTTATGTGCATCCAGTCAGAATCAATAAATTGGAATCAGTTTACTTCATTCTGCAAATACCATTTTGATTGTGAGGTCCGGTAATTATCAGATTGATTCGTTACTTTGATTTGGTATGTTGTTTTAAACCATTTAGTATAACTAATTGATTTGTCTATTTCTCAACGTTTATGCCTACCATATAGTCCAGCTAATAGATTGGTTGTAAGGGATGTTTTAATCATTTTATAAAGACTTCCAACTATCATAGGTCTCAGTTGGTACTTTGTGTACACTGGGAAGATATTCGAGTCTTTGCATACTAGTTACATGCCTTTTACTCGTAAGACGTGAAATGGAAGCTGAAAAAACCTTCGAATTTCAACTGCTTAACATGATCAAAGGATGCAAACTAATTGTAACGAGTATACAATGGCACTAATATTGGTATTGTAAGTATCAACTAAAATCAGAAGGCAATGAGATGGATTATTTGAGTCTATATACTTCGTAGTTGAAAAGTACAATTCATATGAAATCAAATATACTACCGTATGTGGTCGTATCAGCTGACTTGAAGCTGTTGCTGCTATAACTAATGTATATTTAGTCAACAAACGATTCAATAATTTCTTAAACTTGAAAACAAACCTTTATCCAAATACCTAGCTGTGTAGTTTTTTAAAAACATATTTACAGAATTTTCGAAAATATCTCTGATCTATATGTTGAGACGTCAAGATAATCATTAACTACTAAGAACAGCAATCTTCAGAGAGAAAAGTATTCGTTTCATGAGAAAGATATTGCTCAATAAAAAGTGCTGAAATAACATGAATAGTGTCAGCACAGTAAGATTTGTAGGTCACTCCTAGGATTTCAAAATTAGAGCACCTATAAAGCAGTCCTGATTGTGGTCGACTGGATCATGCAACAAACTGTGAGAAGCGAGAAGAGGGGAATACACTGGCTGGACCGGGGAAAAGAACCTAGAAGATCAAGATTTCGCCGGTGACTTGTGTCTAATGTTACACAAACTTGAAGACCTACAGGTGAAAACTAACAAGTTGTCAGAAGAGGCAGTGGGGTGAAGACTGGACTTCAAGTGAATATAGAGAAGACAGAGGTGATGAAGATACCGCACCATCACCACCACCAACAACAACAACAAACTCCAATCACCATCAATGGAAGGAACTGAAAGGAAGTAACCTCCTTCACCTATCTAGGCAGCACTGTTTCAACTACAGGCAACACAGGCACAGACGAGGATGTCAAAGTGAGAATCGGAAAAGCAAGACAGACGTTCATTAGCCTGAAACCAGTGTGGAGATCCTCTGCACTCAGCATGTGGAACAACATCCGGATTTTCAACACTAATTCAGTCAAGTAAGTCAGTGCTTCCATGTGGTGGTTGAGAGACTTGGGGCGTTACGAAAGGGATTTCCAATAAACTACACACATTCATCATCAACAGCTGCCACCTACGCTAACTCGATACTGAAGATCAGATAGATGGCCAGAAATAATAAGCAACAAGGAAGTGTGGTTGGCAACGAACCAATCAAGAACCTATCACTCAACAAATATGCAGTGGAATGAAGTGGAGATGGATTTGATTGGGCATACACTGAGAAGTCAGATTGGTGACATCACGTGTCAGGCACTCGAGTGGAACGCAGATGGGAAACGACGAGTTGGGCGTCCGAGGTGAGGGTGAAATGGAGGAGATGGTGTGAGTAGGAAATGAGAGGTTGTGGGCAGTGGTGGATCCAGGTTGAAAAGAATTCAGAGAACAGAGTGTAATGGAGACGTGCTACTGAATCCCTATGTTCCATTAGGAACTCAGGGACAAATAATAATAATAATAATAAGGCAGATGAATAGTGCTTCTAGTGTTTTGATAAGTAAACAAGAATTGTAACTTAACCCTGCTTCACAATATGCAAACCGTTTGCCTCATGAATTTCAGTTTATTACTGATTGACCATCTATTTTACTTTATTCTTATCTGAGTTACATCTCTTGTATATAATATGAGGTATTCTTTGTTACATTTGAATGCATATAGAAAACCAGTCAGTTAATCAGCTGTTTTGTTCCAGTATTCCTTTGTTTTGATTTTGGGGGGAAATCACCACTGATGTTTAGTAAATCACGGGTAGATTTTCTCTTGATCATATTAACAAACAACAGGCTATCATGTTATATTCATCTTGGTGATTAGCATTGGAATCCAGGAAGTGCGTTTCGTCCTATTTGGGACTCTTAACTTTAGTAAGATTCTCCAGATACCTGCTCAAGCGGCTTAGTGGATGGTGCTTTGTTATTTGAAGCGATGGGTAATAGGTTCGAGTCCCAGCGGGAATAAAACTAATTGGGGTCCAGGTACATCCAACTGACGAGTCCCAAATGGGATGAAAGTGCATCCTGGATTCCACTCCTAGTCACCAAGATGAATATAACATCATGAATATTCGGCAGTGTCGAAGCATCCACAAAGGATCCCATTTAGCAATAGTGTTCAAGCGATGATGCCCGGCATAGCAACAGGAAATTACAGGTATCAAAACAACAGGTCATCGTCATATGCTGCACCATTAAGAGTGTTATTTTGATGACTATCTATATTTGCCATATAATGTTATGCTTCGTATTTATCTCACTTCCATCAGTACATGCTAGTGTAAGCGGATATATAAAAGATAGTAGAAAGTATAAGAAAGACTAATAAGGGTTTAAAATGAACCAGTTGCAAAAAGGATAAACAATTTGCTAATTAAACGTGGAAATAGTGAATTTACTATCATGTTATTACTGTATACTTCAGAGTACTGTCTACAAACGGGCATAGTCAAAGAAATGACAGATGGTGTCTAACAGAATATAAGGAACTTTTAAGTTTTTCACCATCTGAATAGTTTTATTACTGTCTTACAGGTACAGGTAATAGGGGGATTACATCACAGAAATACAAGTCATTCCTCATTATTTACCCATTAAACTTCACCTAGGGTATTAAATAGTTCACAACTTCATACAGCTTATAGTGTATTATATGTATTCTAATCGACTTCTATGTGTCTCCATAAATTTCCCACTTTTACTGTTGATCCTGTGTATTATTGACTCATACTCAACTGTATTGTTGTCTACAACTGATGAAGCCTTTCAATGCCCTTCTGGTATTTGACGTATCAGTAATGATAGCAAAGTTGTTAGAGATACAAAGGCTTCCGAATGCACATTCAAGACAAGATGATCTTAAGTGAATCTATATCAGATTTTCCCTTATCAAGCTGGTTAACCGGAACCTTTGATAAACTATGAGTAAATTTCATTTTCACTTGAGAAAAATAATAGTTATGAAATATAAAAATATCTAAAAACACGTTTTAGGGGAGAATCCTTGTCGGTTTTAAACATTTGCCTATGGATCTGGGATATATGTCAACAGAATTCCTTCTGGATAACTCACTGGTGTACTAATATTTAAAATATATAAGGTTAGGACGGTTACATGCAAAGCAGAAGTTCTCAGTTAACAAGATGTTTGCAGATAACGAGGATAGATTCATCCAAGTGACACTTAATCTTAATGGGATTGTCAGTATTACTGATACATATGAGAATTTTAAAAATGTCTTCAAGTAAATGACAAAGAATTCCCTTAATGACTGGCCATTATTATTTTCATTACTTTTCAGTTCTTTCATTGATCAAGGGAACGATGTATGCGAATCTCAACGAAGAAAAGGGTTTAGACGCAGACATTTTAATATACTGCCTCGTAAATTCTCCTCATATACATTCTGACCAGATGAAATAGATAATATGGTTTACTAACTAACGTATTAATCAATAAATTATCATACTTCACAGAGGTTGTCATAACAACCCTATATTATTATATATGCGCTATAAATTTATCATGTCCTAGATCACATCCTACTAATAAACATTTCCTGCACAGCTTTAAACGCTGAAGTATACAAATGAATTTTGAAAACATTATATGGCATTCTTGTGGTCAGTCTAAAAGTCACTACTACTACTACTACTACTACTACTACTACTACTACTACTACTACTACTACTACTACTACTACTACTACTACTACTACTACTACTACTACTACTACTACTACTACTACTACTACTACTACTACTACTACTACTACTACTACTACTACTACTACTACTACTACTACTACTACTACTACTACTACTACTACTACTACTACTACTACTACTACTACTACTACTACTACTACTACTACTACTACTACTACTACTACTACTACTACTACTACTACTACTACTACTACTACTACTACTACTACTACTACTACTACTACTACTACTACTACTACTACTACTACTACTACTACTACTACTACTACTACTACTACTACTACTACTACTACTACTACTACTACTACTACTACTACTACTACTACTACTACTACTACTACTACTACTACTACTACTACTACTACTACTACTACTACTACTACTACTACTACTACTACTACTACTACTACTACTACTACTACTACTACTACTACTACTACTACTACTACTACTACTACTACTACTACTACTACTACTACTACTACTACTACTACTACTACTACTACTACTACTACTACTACTACTACTACTACTACTACTACTACTACTACTACTACTACTACTACTACTACTACTACTACTGAAGCTCAACTCCGGGAGAAACGTCATTCATCAGAAGTTTGGCTAGACGACATATTGCTAGATTATGCTACATCCTGATGCTCATTCCCGCGCCAGTTTCACTAATAGCTTAGTGTCATTACCTTGGGCTTATGTGATCTACAATAACTTGGTGGCCTTCAATAGCTTTCCTAAGTTTATCAACGAGAAATTCACTAGTTAGCTTATGATTTCATAAAACTGTTCCAAAAGTTTGAAGTTCTGATAGACAATAATGATATGATCTATGAGAGGAGAATGTTTCTTATTGACGAAATGCTATACATTACAGAATAAAATGTTAACAGTCCTTTTTCTGGTTTGACAACATTTTCAAAGTTTATCAGCAGGGACAGTAAGATATAGAAAGGAAGAGAAACGACTGACTAATATTCTCTAAGCAATAAATGTTGGTTCCGCACTAGATTTAGGATCGGGATTATTTCTCCTTTGAACGTGATCACATCGCTTAAAAGTGCCTCATTGACTGAATAACTCTACATGGAGGTTTGTGGGGATTCATTCATTGATTAAAGATTATTGTTATTATTTAAGATTTCGCGTCAATTGACGATAAAATGGATTATAAGATTGAAAACTTAATATGATAAATACATCTATGTTTTTATGATCCAAATTCAAACTGATAACTGCAACATAGATAGGACTGATCTATCAGAAAACCGAAATAATGATATGGTCAGCAATCTCTTGCATAATAATTTGATTGAAGACTTTATGTAAAATAATCTGAAACATTAAGGGTCTTGTATGCCTTTCGTATGTGGTATACCTAAGATAAATAAGTAAAACGTGCCCCTGAAATTCATAAGATTAACTTGCTTCATCAATTAGTCGCTTGTTGACTTACGGAATAGTTACAGCCTATCAACTGACGTCTAACTGGATACAATGAAAGATTTATCTCAGTCACACAAACATCTCTAATAAGTTTACTGTCTTTTGATTCAACTTCCTTGTTAGCAGAGGCTCTTATTCGTGAAACTTTTGGCCTTACTTGTCAGTACACCAACATTTTCCCTCTGCGAATAACGAAATACAAAAGCACATCATCAATGTCTTCCGAGTATGTTTAGTTTCAGTTCATCGATAACTGTCACCATCAAACTGATGGTGTAGCAATTGTGAGTTCAGTTGTTCACTGTGCTAGCAGATATCTTTGTTTCCAATCTTTAGAGGATAAAGAGTGGTTGTATGATTGAAACATCTTTGTATACAACAACCTAAATCATACATCCTCTCTATTAAATTACTTCAGTAATACACACGATTTTCGTCATGAATTATAAAAATAATCATCAGTTCAACTTTCTACATATTGCTTTACAACGTAGAAAAGATAATAGGCTTTGAGTCTTCATTCATCGAAAGATTACGTGGAGTGAACCATGTCTGAAGTTCGAAACCTTTTATCCAGCACTTTTCCAGGTGGTAATAAAGCACTGTCAAAGTACTAGTTTACAAAACGAAGAGAAATTATTTTCTAGTAGTCAACTAAAGGATGAATCTTTGAGTATTGTACAATCCTGTGAGACAACAGTTATTCCCAAGAATTTAACAAGCATGATAAATCTAAAAATAAGTAACAGTAAGAAGATTAAAGCAAATAAGAAGCCAATTTTCATTTATTTTGGCTTTAAAAGTGATGGTATTGCAGAGACAATCACTAGAGGAGTGAGTACCGCACCGGTTACAACATATTCTGAGGCTAAGCTGATCTCTGTTTACATAAAAACATGCTCATTAGTACTGCCAGAAATATAGGAGCACTTATACAACTAATCATGAATTTTGTGAAAAAGTTTACTCGTACTTGCTGAGGTAACTGCATTAAAATGATATGGGAAAGTTAGTGATTAGATCCTCTAAATGTGTACCGAAAGGCTCACAATTCACAGGAACACGTGTTTCTAGCAAAGTAGTCCATCAAAGACTTATGGACACAGGACGTGTTGTAAATAGCTTGGATCTTACAAAATAATCAAAAGATAAAGCAATTCTAGTATTCTGAAGTTAACTTAGATGGTACATTTAGAAAGTAGGAAACATCATTAGCATTATTTATTTATCCTTTGGGTTCCTAGTAGTACGTCGCCATTTCACTCTCTTCTCTCCAATCTCTCAAACCTGGCTACACCACTGCTCACAATCTTTCATTTCTTCCTCACACCATCTCACCCATGTCATCCTCACCTCCGACGCCCAACTTCTCGTTCCCCATATCAATTCCACCCGATGGCTTGAAATGGCCTGACGAGTGATGTCCCCAAATAGTCTCCTCACTCTATACCCAATCCATTCAAATCCAATCCAATCCATCTCCACTTCCTTCTTCTGCATATTCGTTGGACAATAGGTTGTTGTCTCGTTGGTTCGTGGGCAGTCAGCCACCCAGCCAGAGTGAGTTCCTCCTTGCTTATTCACATTATTCTGGTTATCTCATCTCCATCTTCAGTGTCAGTATTGAGTGAGTGTATGTGGTGGCTGTTGATGATGTATGTCTGAAGTTTTTTGTTGGAAATGCTTTTCATAATGCCCCGCCAAGTCTCTCAACCATCACATAGAAAGAAGCACTGACTTACTTGATTGAATTAGTGTTGAAAATCTGGATGTTGTTCACGCTTTATGCTGAGTGGAGTGCAGGGTGGTGCAGTAGATCTGCACACTGTTTATTTGAGAGTAGTGCATGAAGGCCTGTCTTGTTGTCTTTCCGATGCTGGCTTTGACGTTCTCATCAGTGCACGTGCTGAGTGTAGTTGTAACGATGCTGCTTATGTTGGTAGGTAGGTGAGAGACAACGTTGTATAGATTTCTCCCATTGATGGTGATTGGTGCTTATTGTTGTTGATGATGATGTTTGTTGGTTATCTTCATCACCTCTATCTTTTGTACGTTTACCTGAAGGAAGTCCTGTCTTCCATGCCTCTTCTGTCCAAAAATAAGCAATTATCAATCACTTTACCATGATAGTCACTTCTCCTTAACTTATTCTCTCATTTCATAATGTAACCTTTCCAATGAAGCTCTACCGGTGTTCCACTTACATTAAATTTTTTTAAGTACCTTTAGCCCACTGAGTCTAGGTTGATTCATCAACAAATAAATGTTTTCAGGGCAGTATTCATCACAAACTTACATCAGCCGGAGAACCATTGAAACCTGTTAGCACTGAACAGTTATTTCGTCCTGGTGTGGAACTTTTTAGTAGTGAAGATCTACAGCCTACTCAGGGGTCGAAAGTACTCGTCTCGAAAACCGAAGGTGCTGCGTTAGATCCTTTTCAGGATCATCATTGTGAGTTGCTATTGAGTCATACTCTATGAGGAAACAGTTGTTCAGCGCTCGAAGATTTTAAGGGGTTCTATAGTCGATATCGCTTCGTGATGATTACTACCTTGAGAACAATCATTCCCCACAAACCCCAAAATTGAAATACTTTGGCATTGTCCATTTGAACTTTGCCTAACTTCCTGTTGCATTAGAAATATAGTTGGAGCATTTTCATGTGTTTAGTTAGCTTTATTTGGATACTTATATTTCTTAATATACCATGTTTTTTTCCCTTTTAACCAAGTTCATCTTATTTTAATTCAGGTTGTAAACAACTGATAAGAAACCATAGGAATAAAGTAATATCACATTATACCGCTCTAGCTGTTGTTGGCCTTCTAACAAAGTTCATATATGTAAACATGTGTATGAAAGAATACTGAACAGCTACTTTATACTACTCAAAGACTATTCAGCAGTTCGCAACCATAACTTGAGCTAGGAATTGTCAGGTTTTAAGGAGAAAAAATTTCTACTCAATCAGTGTACTGAAATCACACTGCTTACATTTCCCAGTTTCTTTCTTCAAGGACAATCAGCTTTGCACTTTCATGCAATTTGAATACCAGTTCCCAGTTTATTGAAAGTGTTAATCAATCACTTCATTATTACTGTATATTCTTGTATTTCTGTCGGTAACATGAAATTGAATTAGAGTGATATCTTTGTGATAATCAGTCAAATGGCTGAGGTTGCCAACTGGTACTTTTCTAGGCTGAATGTTGTCTCAGTTTTTTATTGGGATAGTGGTGAACTTAAAGTACTGCATGGTCTTAAATAGTAAGAATAAATGACTCTAAAGACCACTTAAACAACCAATGAAATAAGTAATTAAATTCCTTTATTTTATGAAAAAACGACTAACTTTTGAACTGAAATAAAGAAATCCACTTTTATCATTTCAGCGGTTATCAAGATGGCTTTTGGTCACTCAAAGTTAAAAGTGAAACTGTTTGAAATCGTGTGGAATAAGAGTGTTTTTAAGTTTAGTAAATTTAATCTAATTACGTAACCTGTGAAGTTCACTTTTGTTTGGTTGCATATCTTAGTAAATATAATAAGAATCAGTATTTATCATGGAGTGAAATCAGTTGGAGAACCATTCAAGACATGGGAGCACTGGACAGCTGTTTCGTCTTTGTATGAGACTTGCGGCAATAAGCACCCACGACCATGCTAGGGATCGAACTCTGAGCCTTCAGATGTCATAGCGAATGCGTTAACCATTCAGCCACTGGGTAGGAGCCCAGTGGTTCACAGTTCACAACTCTTGTCAGTTCCCGATATAGCGCCGAAAGTCTTCAGTTGGCATCGTAATCATTAGTGACAGGCTTCCAGATGGATATTTCGAAGTTATTATGTAAAGTTGTGACCTGTTGGGTAAACCAGTCGGAAGGGAAGCGGATGCAGACTGAAAACCTTGGGTGATAGTCACGCTATATCATGAATTGAGAGTTGTGGACTGTGAACTGCTGGGCTCCAACTTCAGTGACTGATTGGTTAACGCGTTCGCCCTGAAGCCTGAAGGTTCTGAGTTCCAGCCCTGACCGGATCATGTGTGCGGGCTGCTGAGGAGCCCCATACTAGGACGAAACAGCTGTCCAGTGCTCTCGGGTTTGGAATGGTTCTCCAAATGATTTCACTCCATGATGAATACTACCTCAAAATTAAAAATACTCATTGACCTCAAATAACGATAAGAAGCGTTT